TGCTCTTTGCCAGCAGTCCCTGATATGTAACAACAAGAACAGAAAACATTCTATTTCAAAAGAGCAGAAACACTCAGTGGACTGAATCATCACATCTGACTAATGATGGCAACAATCCATTTACACCGAGCTTATCAAAAACAGAGTGGACCAGGAAGTAGCTCTCAACCCCCCCCCCCATCTAAGGTTCAGCCTGGAATGGTGCCATTAACAATGTATTTATTTGAAATGAGATCGTGTGTGGAGCGTCTCTGACACATATACTAGTAGGAGCCACAACTACATGAACCGTCAGACAAATCCAAATGAAGTTGCAGAAAGACAGTTTAGATAGACCTTATCTGAAGTGGGGTTGAATGAAGTACTTATCCATAGTCAGTGTATTGCCTACATTAGATGGCCATTGGCACACCTCCAGTTTGGAGAAACAGACAGTCCCAACAGGAAGCTGAGCAATGTACTGCTGTGGATGGCGGCAGAAGCAATTGTATTTTAGCCCCTTAAACAAATTTGATTTCTTTAAGTGTGCGCTATATTTAGAATATTTTCACTGCTTTACCTTGCTGTCGGAAGGACCTATCCTATGACATACTGTAGAAGTTATACATGCTCTATTCCAGCTGTTTTCAAAGTGTGAGGCGCGCCTCCCCGGGGGGGCACCAGAGAGCTTCAGGGGAGGCGCAGCGTGAGAAAGAAATAACAAGAAACAGTGAAATCTAGCTAGTTAACTTCAGCTAACTTTATGCGAGCGGCAACATGGATCGATTTTTTGTGAAGTTACCTAAAGTGAGAGAGGAGACAGCGTCTGGCAGAAAACGTCACTTGCACACTTTTGGCTGTCTGTGGAGACCGAGTTCCCCCACCTCGCCAAAAAGGCTGTAAAAGTGCTCATTCCCTTCGCCTCCGCCTACCTGTGTGAGTGCAGGTTTTCCGCATTGACTTTGATCAAAAGCAAGTACCGGTCAAGCAGGGGCGGATCTACTGGGGTGGCATGGGGTGGAAACTGCCACCATAAAAATTGCCCTGCCACCCCAGTTGGCAGCTTTGTTTTGAAATAAAAGTTGTGGCTCATCGGACATTTATGAGAGAAAATCCCTAATGTCCGAGTGCAAGTGAATGCAGCACAAGACGCGAGCCTTGTAACCCCTCCCCCGGCCCTGGCGCGAGCGAGCGAGGAAATGGCAATTTCATTTGAACGGGACGGTGCAAAACGAGAAGCATTGGGACCCAAGTAGACGGAAGGAATGAGGTATTTGTGGTCTACAATGACAGAGAAGAGACTGTCAAGTTTGGCTGTGCTCAGCATTGAATCAAAACGCACTAAAGCTTTAGATCTTAATACGTTTGTGAGGCGTTTTGCTGAACAACATGGTAATCACCGCATTCAGCTGTTGCATGCCAACTTGATGCTCTGCTCACGGATGACTCGATGAGCATAAGAAACTGTTAAGATGATGACCTTATGTGTGTAAATATTTTTTTTTCTTTGTGGGGGTCTGCCCCCAAAAAACAGTTTTAAGTCCTGAGAAAGTCAAATAAGACGGTGTGTAAAACTACACTGCCCAGACAAAAAAGTAACCACTTTGATTTCACTAGGCCAGTAGGTAAGGGCATTCCACTGGATAATAATACCCCTGCATTATAGCAACAATAACAATAACAATAATAATAATAATAATAATAATAATAATAATAATAATAATAATAATAATAATAATAATAATAATAATAATAATAATAATAGCAATAATAATTGGGAGGGGGGACGCGGCTGTTCTTATGTTCTCTGAGGGGAGGCTCACCTTCCCACACTTTGAAAACCCCTGCTCTATTCAAAGCCACCAGTCTCCATTGACAAAAAGAGTCATTATACTTAGAAGAACACAGGTGTTGCTGGTCTACCGCTGCATTGATTGGTTGTTTGTGTGCCTTTTAATGAGCCTTTGATCAATCAAATGAACCAAAGTGGCTAAATTATGTTTTACTGCTTCCTCCGTCCAGAGCAGTACATTGCTTAGCTTCCAGCTGGTACTCCTGGCTGTTTTTACTAAATAAGGGCATCTGGCCCCAATCTAACACACAGACTATAGTAGTACCTCACAAAACCCCACTTCAACCCAAACTATCCCTTTAAAGCTACGTTTGTGTTTTCAAATGCTAGTAATACTGCTCCCAGCATGCTTTGCAGCACCAATCAGCCTTAAAGAGACTTGAGCACTGTTAATCCACCTATGAACGGACCTCTTCACTGCTGCCATGACAACAAGTAAACAGTGGACACCTCACTGCCAGCCCAATAGTCATGAGCACATTGTTCAAGGATGGGGGGGGGGGTTAAATTGGTGTTTGTGTTGAAGCAATTTGAAAAATGTCCAGTAATCGACGCACAGTAACAAACACTTGGCCACTTTGTCAGCAGTGAACAATACGATGTTAATGGCTGGTCCGTGATGTAGCCTTGATGCATAAACAACAATAATGTGGGCATTATTCAAGAAGCAGACCACAACAATACAACGACAGACACTCACAGCCCTCCATCCAGCCCTTCATCGGACCATCTGCCCACCAATGAATGAACACTCAGTGCACCTAGCCTAGGATAAATGCAGGAATTGGGTCCATCTATCCAGACAAATAAAATGGGATTCCAAAAATAACCTCGCATGACACGCATGGACTGAACTGGGCCAAGTCTAGACACTTTTTTTCTTCTTCTCACACATACAAATTATGCCAACGGAAATTGTCCGTCACAAATGTGTTTACAATCCCTGAGAATGGGGATTATGTTTCTATAAGCTCCATACACATTTCCCCAGATAACTTTGTAATAAGATGTCAGGGCATCCACACTGTTGCCCTGTCTGAAGGCTTGCTCTTATGCAATAATGACCAAACACATCGCGTCTGACTACTGACCATCTGAGACATTTACATAATTGCTCATTACAGTCTCACAGGACACAGTAGTAGTCTAATGCGGTGTGAGCCAGTGCCAAGTTAAGACTCAAATTATGGACTGATTTCCAAATTCAAACTGTTTTTTTTTTTAATAATTCAGCAGTCAATATCTGAAAACTGAAGGGGGGGGTGAGACTAAGAGTAGCCCTTCACTATGACCTTTCTCCCATGCTGCTGATAACAGGGAAGAGTTTGAAGTTGATTAGCCTGATAAACAAGAAAACAAAGAGGGGTGGGGTGTAAAGAGTTACTTCTTGATGCAGAAAAAATTATAATAGGACATTTAAAACCCAATTTTTAACATTATAATTGCCTGTGGCATTTGTGTAAGACCGGGATGTACATTCATTACTTTTTTTGGTTAAAACAAAGGTAATAAAAGATAATGGAAATTAATAAATCTGTTTATTTTACTATGGATCTTTACAAACAGGTTATGTTTCAAAAGTAGCACTTAGTCCCACAATGAGAAAAATATAAGATTTTGATGTTGCAAGATGCACTGATAATCCCATTGCAGCCCTCAAATTCGGATACAAATCTTAAAAAAATATATTCCAAAACTAAATATTTTTTCATAATTTGTCAATATGATATTTTGTTGTTATGAGAGCAGATTTCAAAGATATGAGACATACACAAACAGCTGTTAGTGTTTAAAGGTTCTGATCCCCAACATAAGGAAGCTGATAACTCACTACAGATAATAATACAGGATCTATAAGCTGATAATTTGCTGCATCACCACACTGCAGATCCTTTAAAGCTGGGACCAACTGGTGCTAAGCGGGAAGGTGATGGGTGTAGACGAATCAGGAGGGAAACAGGGTCTTGGGCACATGGGGGCTAAAGGGGGGTTGTGGCTGCATTAATGCAAATGTGCGTCTTCTGTTTTCCTTTTTTACGAGGAAGTGCGTGTAACATGTGTTATGCCTGCTTGCCTGTGTTTTCATGTGTTTTTGTGCGTGAGCAGGAGTGAGCCCAGCGTGGGGGCTAGTGTCTGGAGCGTGTAATTGAAACACAGTCCCATGCAGAGCCACACACTGACCCCACTAATCTCCTCCTGACAAAGTGGCTTAGCTTCTATGGGGTCATATGGCACAGCGAGACAGCTTAAACACAACAGAGAGCGCGGGCCGACCTGCCCCGGCCAGCAGACCCTCTGCGTTCAACAGGTCACACTTCAAAAATCAATTCAACCAAGATTCTATATATATACTGACAGAACCAGGTTTCTGCTTATCTGTAAACACGTGCAAACAAGGACTAGTAAACTAAAGTGATGAGCAAATATTACAGGAAATAAAACATCCAAGTGATACAACTAACTACTTCCCCCGGGTCCTGAAAAGATAAAGGAATTCTCCAGTGATAACATACACCATATGCAGGACAATAGTTATTGTGATTACACCAGAGCCTGAGAGGAAGTAAGAAACAACAGGAGTACACTCAAAAGTGTACTGTATGTGCAGTCACACAGTATAAACACACCTCCTATGTGACTGCCATGCCACAGAAACAGGATATTATGTATTTGACAATTACCCCAGGGTAGTTTTATAAATGGTGGTCAGAGAGAAGTGAGAAACAGTAAGAAACCTAGCACATTTCTTTTCCATCTCTGTTGCATAGGTTTTTCTTCTGTGTGTGTTTTCCTGCCCTTGCAGACCCTTCTAAAGTAAATTCTCAGCGAGGCCGCTGACCTTTAACTATGTGGGTCAGAGAGTGACACCAAAGAACTTAGCCAGAGCGGGGGGATTGTTTGCAATGACAGCTTTACAAGGAAACAAATACAGTACATGAGCAATATACTGCCTCAAAGTAATACTGTGGTGTTTTATTGCGGTATATTTTTGATTATCTTAACAAATAAACGCAAAGCTTAAAACCATATTTAGTTGCTTCTCATACGTCTGAGCTATGTTATTCATAACTAACACGAGACCTTTGTTTGTATATCCGCAGTAAAGCAGAGCAGACTTTACAAATGGGTGGAAAGTGGCTATTTGTTCAAACACTTCCTCTGAGCTTACCTGTCCTCTGCAGGAACAGTCTGAGTAGAGGGCTGGCCACGGAGATGGCTTTGTGGTAGTTATCGTCATTGTTGATGGGCAGCAGGTCCCCGTGGACGTCGGCGTAGCCCACCAGGAGCTCCACGTTGGGGATGCGATGCACATGCTGCAGGAGGCCGTAGAACTCATCGAAGCGGCCCGGCTTCGACCGATCCAGTGAGAACCGACGAAACTCTGCACCGAACTGGGATGGAGCAGAGAGGCAGACATGTGAGCACAATTATAAAACATGTGGGTATGAAAAAGAAAGAAAAAGAAAAGATGCAATCGCCATATGGGCAAGATGTAATCATAAGCCTATGCTTGCAATGTGTGCAAACAACATTAAGAAACCCTTTTAAAAAGGACTGCGTTTTTCTGGCTCTGACTGATGAGGGCTGCACAATTAATCAGATAATAAAAGCATACATGATTGTGGTTTCCCACAATTAAATGAAAATGATTGACTATTAAATGTAAAAGGTGTGCTCCAGACATAAATGTTGCTGCTGCTTACCAGAGTAGAAGAGTCATATTTAACAGAGAGCACGGGAAAAGCATACAGTATGAGCCTTATTCTTATTCTGATGCAAAATATACATTAGCAGTAATGTAGCACATTTTCAACATGGAAGTGATTTAAAAAGTACAACAAAAAAAGAATTAAATGTAATATTGGTGATCAAAATATTGATCTGGATAATCCTTGTCAACTTTTTAGCCATCATTTTGCAGCTATACTGATAAGTACACACTGTTCTGGTAGCCTAGCTAATTTCAAAACCGCTGTATGCAAGAGTCTGTCATCCATGTGGACAACTAACACACACCGCATGTGATGAATTATTAATGTGTACTTTGGGATGTGTGTATCTCTACGTGTCTGTGTTTGCGGATGCAGTATGTTCAAGGCTGAACAGCATTGTCTAGTCAAGCTGGTAACAAAGACTGTCAGCCCCTCAAAACACATAGTTATCAGTTTGGTCTCACTGGATCAATAGAGGTAAATGTCTAATTTTTAGGCACCCTTTTGATGAGACACTGAGCCTAATGTCCCATTGGTGGTGGTGATGAGAAGTGTTGTGGTTACTGTTGCCCAGCGCTGACAAAAGATGATCTACAACTCACTGCCAACCTGGACATCTGATGCATTTAGTAGCTACATAGTAGAATTAAATTAACTCTAGGTATGGGAACAGGTCCCAATCCCGTTTCCCGCATTCAGACATGAGTAGACAAAACATTTCAAATTACCCTGTACTGCTGGGTTTGTAAAATAGCAGAACAAAGTAAAATAATGAGTGTTTTATAACTGCGTGAATAACGTGATAACTGGATGAAAACGTATAACTGTAAACGTATGAAGTAACACAGACACAGTCAACCGTATTGAGTTCCTATAATAAGTTTTGAGCAGTAAAAAGCGCACTGAGGCCCGTCCCCCAGCTAGATGTACACAGAGAACCATGCCAGGGGCATGAGCACTGTCGCGGAAGGAGCCATGAGCCTGTCGCAGGCCGTATAACACCTAACGCTCCGGAAAATAACACAATAACAGGCAGCTAATAACAAGTCATACCAGGGTTATTTGACATAATGACACGCAGTTATTCTAAAACTTGATCTAAACTTTGAGTCAATATTTGATACGGGCAGGGTGGAGCGGCGGAGGTGGCTGTGACAGGTGACACGGGCTCACTGCGGCGTCAGCTGACATAACCTCCACCTTAAAACTTACCCAGAACAACTGAAATATCACTACGCCAGGGTAACATCAAAGTTGTAAGTATGGCTATCTACCAGAAATGAGTCAGTGTCAGTAAACCTGTGTTGGCTAGTTAAGCTCTAGCTAGTGCCTGTGTCATTTGTGCGACATCATAACTTGCTATCAAGCCACTTAGCAGGCTAAATTAGCTAAGGTAATCATCTTTGGGGGTAGTTAAGAACACACCAGGTAAAGTGAAAAATAAGTCTCTATTTGAAGCTGTTACCTTGCTCTTCACCTCCACGGCACTCAGAGAACGGTTGCTCGGCACTCGGTGGTTTTTGTTCATGTTTCGCTAGCAGCGGGACCGCCGCCAAAGCACTCACACACTCGCCCTGCTCCTGCCGCGCCACCGCCGCCGCTGCTCGGTATCCAGAACCTCACGTATCCACCAGTTATTGGTCCAGTCTGTGTCCCGCGACTTCTCGGCGTCCAGCGGTTTGCTTTATTCCTCCGAGAATGCGACAACGGCTGCCAACCAGGCTAGCTCACCCTGTGAACTTCTCTCCTCTCATACTTGCCGCTGCCAGTGTCGCTGTAGCCCTGCTGTGTGTCGTGCTCTGCCTCTCTGCTCACTCTGCGTGGAGAGGGGCAGCACCACACTTCAAAATAAAAGTCTTTCTCTCACCCATGACGTCACAATAAGAGCACTTTATCATTCTACCTTTCTGTGGGCAGATAATTAAACTATGTAATAAAATATATTATTAATGGTTTCTCCTATCTATCAAAAAGTCATCCACAACTTCAAGAATAATCTTTTTTTTTATAATAAATGATTTAGACATAATGAATGTTCTATACAAAATATTTATTTTGGGTCAACAACATCTTGATTGGCAGAGTATGACTGTAATTTAATTATACATCTTTTGTATTTCCAATAAGATATAAGAAGTAGGCTACGCAAAATGGTACACAACATATATCCAACAAATCCATATTTTCCAATTTCTTAAATAGTGAAAACAAATGTTTTTTAACAGGAATCAAAACACATTTATTTTACAATTGTTTTTATTTAAATTATTATTTGTTTTAAATGTATTAATAATTGTTCTTATTATTCTAAACTAAATATGATAGAAAAATGTATTTGCCAGTTTATTATAGCCTACTTTGTGTAGTTACATTTGTATATTGTTTACACATGGGGGGAAGTGTTTTTTAAATTAATTGTCATGGTGATAAATACAGATAATATAACATTTATTCAAAGTAAATGTTATAGATGACTGGAACAACTTCTCTGCTGTTGCATGGTGACACCTCCTGGCCAGAAGCCATATAGCTCTGCTGATACCTGCCTGACTACACTAAACCATGTGTTTTATCTCATGTTATATGGCTTTGGGATCAAAGATTGTGGTTTTAATGGGTTTCAAAAAGGACATTTTTGTCATTCACATTATGACATATTCTGGCATCACACTTTTATATATTGAGCTGAGGTTAACTTACAAAATTGGATAAAAAACAACCCATTAATTCAGCCAAAATGACCAAAAAGGTGAGACTTACGTATGAATGTCAACTATCTGCACAAGCACTGATGGCAGTCTGCAGGAACAACTGAAGAACAGTGATGTCATCCGTCATCCACCATCTCTCATCCACCTGAAAGTAATCTACAATAACCACGTGACACAAATTTACAATGAATGAAACAAAAAATCGTTTGAAAATAAAACCTAAAAAAGAACCCAATAACTCAAATGCAATCTTCGTCATTCTAAATCTATATGCTTATCATATGGTTAGCTAAATTAAAGGGCTATGTAGTTTTATAAAAAAGCTAATGTGTAGGGAGACCAGGGACAGTTGCAACACGGGTCGGTTGTAACACCTTCAATATCTCCAATCACAAACAAGCTAGAGTGATGAAACTCACTCTGTCTGCACATGCGCAGATAGATGGTAAGATCGCTGAGAAAAAAAGGAGCCACGTTTGAATTTCTCGCGTAAGATATCAGCAAAAGTGTGTTTCTGAGGTAAAAAATTAACTAAAATTATATGATGTATCTTTTGGATACTGTCTTGAGTTCAAATGTCTAGGAATCCAAACCAGTATTATTAGAATCACTGTTTTGTAAGCTAAAACCACCTGTATGTAAATTGTAAATAAGCCATCTGTATGTCAAATATGTCTTATATGTCTTAAATTAAATGATGAATTGGAAATGGGGGACCCTGATGTAAACAAGACGAAAGTCTTTCTCTGGTCTGCATCCCCTTAACAATTGTATGTTTTGAGCTGTACTGTACTGTACCCAATATACAAGCTGTTAATACACTTTTCAATCAATCAATCAATCAAACAAATATAACTAGCTAAATATGGGTCAAGCTAGCAATCAGGCAGGTTCACAGGGGGTGAAAGCAAGACTGGTGGTCCTGGGACGGTTGTAACGGGACGGTTGTAACATGGCACATTTACAATGATGGCTCATTTGCTTGAATGATCATTCAAGCATACAGTTGTATTGTTGATTGGTGTGCATTGTCCCTGTAAAAATAAACAGAATAAAATACTGTACAGTAGGCCTAAAGTGTGTGTGTGTGTGTTTACAGTATGCCAAATGTCAGAAAGAGGAAGACAGACAGGGGAGTGCCACTTGCTCTGCTGCAGAGGGCCTCAAATGAAGTTGAGAAGGGCAAATCATTCAGGGAAGTGGCAAAGTCCCTGGATATATGCCATGTCACCCTGTACCGGTTCCATACAAAGAGGCTGAGGCTGGAGAGTCAGGGATCACAAACACCCCCAAGAGTAGGCTACTGGACACCAAAGAAGGTGTTCTCAACAGAGCAGGAGATGCTTTTGAGAGACTATCTGATGGAGGCAGCTGATTTATACTATGGTCTCAGCTCAAAGGAGTAGGTCTACATAATTAAGGTAGAAGCACCTCTCAGAGAACAGTTTAATCCTTCACAGAGGATGATGCTGTGTGTGTTATCTGTTATCCTGTTCATTGTTCATTGTTTGTTGGAGGATGTGTGAAACCCCATTCAAATCTTGTTGCCTTAGAATTTGACAGCTTTCCCTATTTGTTGTCATGTGTGAAAAAAGGTAACCGTTATTAACATGTTACAACCGTGCCTGGCATGTGCTACAACTGTCCCTGTACACAAGGACAGTTGTAACAGTTGAGTTTTTTAAAAAAAATACATTTTCCAACCTGTACTTATTTCATAAAAACATCTTAAATACATTGTTTCAGTAGCTGACATATTGATAATGTATAATATAGCAAAATGGCTATCCTATTGTAAATGTTTTTTTACTTATTGGGGAAAAGCCCAAAAAGTGTTGCAACTGTCCCTGGTCTCCATACATATTTAATCATATCCATTTAGGACTCAGAATGAGTATTTGATAGATAGGATAAAGGCTTCCATGCATAAAGAATATGGTTTTCAAAGGCACATCATTCTCCAAAACCTCACCCTACTCATACCTCAGTTGCATATGCTAAAATAGTATGTTATCAGAAAACAATGCTGCATTAACACTAGCATAGAAACAAGGTAAAATGGTATTTCCAATAAAGCAAGTCTATAACCTTTGCTGAACACCCGCCACTGTGCACTGAGTTTTGCCTTTCTGAGATTTTCTTCTTCCGCTGCTTTAAAGCACCAGAAGAGTCAGAAAGAAATGATGCCTATGACTGTTGTCTGAAATATTGCTTGAGATCCATAAAAAAACAAAAACATAATGTGTATTTTATTTCAAGTTACCTTATTCGGTCTTAATTCGGTGTGTACTTTGCACCACTTATGAGACAACATCTCAGAAGTATTTAATCACTAACTGCAAGCTTTGATTCAGAACTTTATCGAAAGAGCTCTCAAAACAACTTCAAGGGCAGAGAACACGTTTATTTCGCACTAAAAATATATTCCCTGGCAGCAGGGTCATGTAGTGACAAAAGAGTCTGTCCTTCAGCTCGACAGAACAGGATCAGCTACAATGCTGAAAAACAAGAACAAGACAGTGCCAGAGCTGCTGCTTTTAAAACATCACATCTGAACAATGGTACAAGTGGTACAATTCAAAATATATTTAAATATCCATATTGTTTTTTTTTGTCAAGCCAGGTAATGACTGTATCCTTAAATGACCAGAAAACCTGAAATGAAAGACACTCCCCATACACTCACCAGTAGTTTTTGTTTACTACATTCCTCACTCCCCAATTTGCGGGTGTTCCTCTCCCCCATCTGCTGTGCACACAGCTGTACAGATGTGTCAGAAGTGTCTGACCTCCCTCCCCTGCGTCTCACCGGTCTTTTTACTATTTGCAATGTGATGCAGCTACCACCGCTTTTTACCTGCGGTACAAGAGGGGGCCAGTAGCTAACTCAACTTTAACATGGACGATATTTTAGCCCCCCCCTGCACACACACACACACGTCCCTTACCCTTCGCTCCCTCTGCCTTTCTCTCTCTCCAGTAAGATGAGTGTCTGCAGCCCTATTCATGATGTTTAATTCAGCTTTTTAGAAGGACAGAATAAAGGCTATATGCAACATGGGGAGGCTGTGGCTCAGTGGTAATGCGCTGATCTTCAGATCATGGGAAAACAAGTTTGAGTCCCACTGCAGTCAGCATGTCGATGTGTCCCTGGGCAAGACCCTTCAGCCCCAGTGAACCACGTGCTTGTGTGTCCGGGGCGGGAGATTCATGTGATTGGTTGTTGGTCGATTTTCAGACACGCCCACCGGCAAGCTTCAACGCACGCCGCCGTGTGGACGTTGCGTGACGGCCCGTGCACACGGCGGCGTGCGTTGAAGCTTGCCGGCGGGGGGGGCTGAAACTCGACCAACAACCAATCACATGAATCTCCCGCCCCGGACACACAAGCACGCGGTTTGATTGGCTAGAGCTTGTACTTGCATATGATTCAATTGGCTGACGCTTCCGCCGAAGCTTCAAAAGTTGAACATTGCTCAACTTTTGCAGCGAGCAACGCTTCTGAAGCTACACTTCGCTCCCACAATGCAGTTCGGCGAAACGTGACGTCACCCCATTCAAAGTGAATGGGCAGAAGCGTTGAAGCTTCAACGCACGCCGCCGTGTGGACGGACCGTGAGGGGCAGCACCGTGTGTGTGTGTGTGTGTGTGTGTGTGTGTGTGTGTGTGTGTGTGTGTGTGTGTGTGTGTGTGTGTGTGTGTGTGTGTGTGTGTGTGTGTGTGTGTGTGTGTGTGTGTGTGTGTGTGTGTGTGTGTGTGTGTGTGTGTGTGTGTGTGTGTGTGTGTGTGTGTGTGTGTGTGTGTGTGTGTGTGTGTGTGTGTGTGTGTGTGTGTGTGTGTGTGTGTGTGTGTGTAGGGTGACAATAAAGGCTTCTCAATTCTCTAATTTCCCCCTCTCGACTCCTATCCTCGACTCCTATCCTCGTGACTTAGTCCTGCCCACAGGAGATGCGAGCGGAGGAGTCGAGGAGGGGAACCGAGGAGAGAGGAGTGGAAGCAGCAGGCGTTTAGGGTCATTTTAAAGAGACGTCCATTATAGTGATGGGAATTCCGGCTCTTCTTGGTGAGCCGGATCATTTGGCTCGGCTCACCAAGAAGAGCCGGC